TTTCTTTCTTATTCAAATTTGTATTCCCCTATGAGAATAGTAAAACTGATTTTGCTTTTGCAATTTCGCTGTCAAGATCGGCCATGAAAACTGTTATTCCCCTGTTTAGAGATTTATTATGAAAGCTTTAACGGTTAAATGAACTGATAAATTCAGTAAATTAAAAACTTACTGCATAAAATGCGAAAAATGATTCGCCCTACCAGGGGAGGGGAAGTGGTTCACGCTATGCGATAGCATAATGGTTAGACGTCTATCGACTGACTAACCACAAAAATTAACATTTCTAGTTTGGCTGGAAACGAGTGAAAAACGTCTGCGCATGCTCTGAATCCGTATGCAAATTAGTCAAAACATATGTAAATTTGACTTTCAAACATGTCTGATAAATAGAGCAGTTTCGAATTCCAAATTACCGCTGTGTTCCTTGATTACAGACTCATTTGCACAGGGTTTGCCTCGGGTTTGTGCAGAATATTCACGTGTTCCAGTCAAGGTCCGTCGAGTTTCAAAATGTTTGTATTGTTGAAGTTGTGCATTCTTTACTTTACCGCTTGGTTGGTTATTGCGAGAACATTCAAACCTACATGCCCAGTGAAGCTGACGTTAAGATATTTTGAATTAGGGCAATTTTCACAAGATTCTGAGGAGTTTTTGTTTCGTCCACTGACATTTTTGAGCAAAACGGGTACTTATAGTTTTCGTAATCTTTCTCCACTGTCCTATACTAGAGCTCGAGAAATTGCCATTGAGAGTATCGGCCTGCCAAAACAAGATTATGGGTTACATAGTTTTCGAGCGTGAGGGGCTTCTGCAGCTGCTAATGCCCATGTTCCCGACCGGTTGTTTAAGAGACATGGGCGTTGGAAATCGGAGAAAGCCAAAGTGAAAGATAACAGAATCTCTGTTGTCAGTTTCCAGATCTTTCGGTATTTAATTTTTTCCCATTCCAATCCCGTTCTTGAGGTTCGCACGCTTGTCGTGTGGACACACTCCTGTAAGTCTGTCTAGTATTAATTAATAAATGATTTATATTTGGTTTAGCGGGGTAGTGAATAAGAATATAAATTAAATTATTATGAGTTAAGCAACTAGCGCACAGGGTTTGTAAGAATGTGAAGTTCTCTAGGGAGTTCACGGAGGGACGCTCATATATAAAACACAGAAGTTGAGAAATATGATTCGCGTCCAACGTCTTTGCGGGGGAAAATTAAATCCCCAATGTGCAAGGTTAAATTCACATAAATTACCAATTTCTATAAGGGTTCTAGCTGTTCTCCCTCATATTCAATGTCTATCAAATAGTTGCAATTTAACTGCCTGTAGCTGCCTTAGGCGATATCAGCATTATATAAAATTTATATATATATATAATTCCTTGCATATTGTTTTATATATAACCAGTATTAGATTAATTGCAGCTTTATCAAGCTTAGATTTCAGTCATTGAGAAATTTAAATCAATATAGTTTTTCCATATCCCTTGAATTTCATGTGTGAATTTCAAGGGGTAAAATGTTCCATGCAAACAAGCTGTCTGCTACATAATTATGAAGTTCTTTTGTCTTCAATTTTGCACATAAATATAACTCTATAATACTGATACGGTAAATTGCATTGAATTTATTTGGTAAAAGACTTAAAGTATGACTAGAACGTAGCACCAATTAAAGTGCTTATAAGCCTTTACACAATATTTTCAGAATTGATTCTTTAAATAGTGAATAGTTGATTGTGAAAATAATTCGCCATTTGAATGTCGGGTCTTTGAGATACGAAGGTTTATATTTCCAATATGTTGATAACTATGACGTAACATAAGGGATTTGAGTTATTTTGTGGCAATTTTTAATATTGAAAGCTGGACATTTTTTGAAAACAAATTTGTAAGAACCTTTATGTGAGTCACGAGTAAAAGGGTGATGCTTTTAAAATACTGTATTCCGGAACGAGTGCAGTGTTGTATATTAAATGATCCCTTATGTTACGTCATAGTCATTAACATATTGAGAATAAAAACCTTCGTATCTTAAAGACCCGACATTCAAATGACGAAATATTTTCACAATCAACTATTCACTATCTAAAGTATCAATTCTGAAAATATTGTGCAAAGGCTTATAAGCACTTTGACATTTTTACTTCAAAACCACAGAAAACCMTTTATTATTAATGAATTATGGCAAGCTTCTGTTTCCTTTTAAAAAGGAAAGGAGATGGTTGGTGTGGGTTTCCATCACTTGGCTTATAACCGGTTGGGACCCAATTATTGTAGCCACACAAGCTAGTCTCTCTTATTTATTCCTTCCCTTTCTTATAGTTATTAACGTATGCGAACATTTATTCTTAACGGTGTTCGTTGCGCTATGGTGACATTACGAAAGTACCTTGTTTCGTAAAGCTAATTAAGAATATAATAAATATCCTTCCTTAATTTGCATGAAAAATTTCACTCCTTGAAATTCACACATGAAATTTAAGGGATACGGAAAAACTCTAATGGATTGTCATTATATTTACAATAAGCTAATGAATTGCAAATAAAGAGACGTACGCTTGTCGTGTGGACATGTATTTATTAGTAAAAAGCAACTGCAATCGACAGAACAAGAAAAATAAGGAAATGATGAAGAGACAACTACAGGAGAATGTAAAGATGATCCAGTAGTTGTCGAAC